ATGTTAAACTGTTACATCCATCGGAGAGCAATGTTCGCATTGTCTATGCGATGTAGTATCATCATAGCCAACTTTTACAACTCAAAGACCGCTGTTGAGGGAGTGGTAGAAGACTAACAATAAAGGGCCAGTCCGCGGTTGACGAACAGGACAGATCGGTATGCACCGATATATGGGGGATTCTCCCAGGGGGAAAACCATGAGACAATAGCTAACTCGTAATAATCTTTATGAATCATATTCCAACCACGTTCTCATAACGAGGGAGACCATAGTCGAGAATCGGATTACACTCGGTCACTGATGGTAGAAAGCGAGTGATGCCTAGCTCGAGCCGATTCGATAACGGTCTCATATCTTCACGCTGGAGACTTCATCAGAGTCACATATTTGCCACCCACTCGTGTTTCAATAGTATTGGCTTTACCATGATATATAAAGTCTTCAAAGTCATGCTCACTGAGCAAGCCCGGACAATCCTGTCCAACCTTTGTCAAGTACTGGAGGTAATCATACATGGAGGAGGAAAGTATCTTGAAGTGATCGTTACCCGAATCAAGGTCCAGATATGCTGACTCAATTGGGTCCGGAGTCTGCGTACAATTCACTGACAGGACGACGTCGTCTGACGCGTGCGCGAGGATTGTAAAGTCAGCTGACACAGTTGTAGAGCCAGTGATTGCCTTGAAGTACTCGCCGCTCGGTGGAGGGAACTTAGCATCAGACTGGGTAGCCAGCAGAGCGATAGTAACAATATGAGGTAGGATCAGGACCATGACGAGCGTATTGACCTTGCTAAGAGGATGATGGGAGTCGCTACACCAACACAAGTGAGAGGAGATACAACTAAAAGAGGAGAAAAGATATCTCGGGATTGCGAGGTACTTGCTTTTTGTGGAAGCGAGAGACGGCTTGTGTGTTCGTGTGGGACTCCCGCGCGAGCACGTGAGTGCATCCATTGCAGAACCGTTCCACTGGAGCGCATGGAACCTCACGCACTGCGTGCGCGATTAGCTCCAGGGAAGGTACTTCGATGAGTAGTACACCTAACAAAAGGCAATCAGTAAGTCTATCGAGAGATGTGGTTTCTACCTTTTGAAACCTTGAGAAAGGTAATGCAAATGCACAAGGCAGCTGAAACAGTAGATTATTCATACATATTCGATCCGGGCACGCGGCACTTACGAAAGGTCCAACGCTTCAGCCAAGAGTATCTCAAGAGGATGTCCGGACAGTTCTCACAGACTGAAGCAGTGGTGAGCTGGACGACAGCGTTGGAGGAGTATATGTTCGCTTCCTTCAGCTGAGCTCAAAGTTTTTCTCACTTATTATAAGAATTCAGGTATAATTGTGCAAAA